ATCTTCATTTGATCGATCACATCTGGCCATCTGCATGAAAAGTACCTCGGCTGAAACTGTTGACTCATCAATGCGCCTTGTGGCACCATAGCAATAAAATTCTCAGTCATGGTTTGGTGTTACTGATGCAGAATACGTTCAGATCTTAACTGTTGGAAAAATTGGACCGTGACTGCACGTCAAAAAGTTGACAAGACCTCCCCGAAACAAAATCCTGACAAAACATTGCCTGGAATTCAAACTTCGGAAGTGACGAATAAGGCAAACACTATATTCAATGTCTAACGAAAAGGTAAATTTTTATTTGTAAGAGACAAGGTCTGAATGGTGAAAAATTTGTGCCATCAAAACCTCTAACTAGAAAAAATGAACGGTCGTTGACTAATAGATAAGAACTCGTAAAAAACAGAGTACATTTTAACCTTGAGTTCGAAGATAAGAGAACTCTGCGACATGTTGCATTGTTTTTTCAATAGAAGAGAGAAAACAATACTCCTGTAATAGTTCAATAAGGCTTTAGGGTACATAATCACTAAAAGTAAATTGTATTGGTGGATAAGGGACTGATGAAGTTCATATCATTACAATGGAAAGTTCACGGATTTTTAAAGAAGAAGTGGAGTGTGACATGATGATTAACAAGCAGGAAGTGACAACACTAACAGATAAAACCCACTTTGAGGTTTCCAGATCAGTTACACTTTAATTTATAGAATTACCAAGCTGCATTCTGATTAGTTGTTAGGATAGAACAAGGCAAGTCACATGACAAATCATTCAGCCTAGGAAGAATCTTGATGAAATCAAAACAAGGTTGTTTAGTTCATGATCAGTATTATTGTGCCGCATTTTAAAATATTATATAGAGTAATAGTATCGACCCATGTGCTCGATTTCCGTCGTTTTCTCAGAACTGTCTTCCGATCTTCCAAGAGATTATTAACTTGGATCGTCCGAAGAAGTTTTGAAGAAGAGCGCGGGCTCGTTTCCCGATCAGCGACTGGTAATAGGTTCTAATAGACCCATCAAAACTGCTGTAACACAGTGGTCAAACGTCGAGCATGCGCAAGGGATCAATTTTAGCCAGTCGAACGCCAATTTCTCGCTCAAAATTTCAAAGGAACACGTAATCCATCGCAAAATAAGCTGAATAAAATTGAAATGTTCAGGAAAATCTGTAAAAGGAACCAAAAGTAGGGAAAAAGAAAAACTCTTCAAACACGAAGGGTTTTCAAGTACAGTTATTTTGTTTAACATTATGTTTTAAGCTTTACCAAAAATGTTACGTGCTTTTAAATCACAGTGACTTACCAGATGGGGTTGGTTGTTTGTACTTCGTGTGAGGCGATTTGGTTCTGACAGCCACCTTATCATTACAACATTCGCGCATGCGCAGACGTTTGACCGCTTTGTTAATTGCAGTGGGCTGTCATATCTGTTATAGTGTAATAAGTAAATTTGTAGGTTTTTCATAAAAGTTTAAATGTAAAAGACAAAAATACATAGTAACGAAGGCTGGCCGCAGGGAAACAAAAGAGTTTTATCCAGAACTTGATTATTTTTAAAAGATATATTGAATTGACATGTAAAAATGCATCCTCATTGAGTATTTTTACAACTTCATCATTGTACAAAGAAAGGTGTTGGAGCTGAATTATATGTCACGTGAAGGAAGTGCATGACCAACGAAGTATGTTAACAGCCGTCGTGCTTTTGCGTGCGTGTGTGAGAGTGTATGCGTGCGGGCGCACGTGTGTGCGTATCCGCGCCCGCTTTGGTGAAAAGATAGAGCGAACGCGCAAGGACTAACGCGAAGGGGAGACTTCAGCTTGTGCACTTGTCATTTCAGCTGCAGCTCACATTTCGCTCGCGCAGTAGCGCTATGGACGATGATTTAATCGAAGCTTTGACCAACACGGAAATATGGATGAAACAAAAACTCGGTTTTCAGCATTTGTGAAAACCGTGACTATGTTGTTAACTTGAAAGAAGAACTTTTGTCTGACCATTAACTGTATTACTATCTCCCCCGCTGTTGGAAGCCGGTGGAAGCTCGGGGATCATGACGGGGGCAGGGCAACGGGATGCGTTCGGCGGAATAGGGATGGTGGTTGGGTTTCTGAAACAGGGGCTGCTTTGGAAGGACTGGACGGACAGGGAATATAAGTCAACTTTCTCATGTAAGCAGTGATTTTTTTTTGTTTTTTCGGGTTTTTTTTTTCGGTGCTTTTTTTCTAACCGTTTAACAGAACATTAGGATCAACGTCTCATTGTCGCCTTGACTAGGAAGGTTTTTCACTGCTGCAAAAAGAGTTCGATGAAATCTTGATAAATTTAACACCGTCCAGCTTTCATTTAAACATTAAAAACACTTGTGTTATATATTCATTCATTTGCTTGGTTATGAGGCCTTTTTAACAACCCGATAAAACGAGAGCTAATTAGTAAGGTTTTGTATTGAGGTTGCAAACCAACGGTAAATATTGATATATAAAGCTCATACATCCTGGGTCTCTGTGTACACAGCTTCACTGAATTTAACAGGCCGGTATTTCAAGAGAACCAGTGTTGCCATATAAACGATTAAAAGCTTCTATAATATCCAACGCCGAGTCAGTGGCATCCGAATGAGATCCGATAAAAATCTCACAGGGAAGAATTATTTATAAATGAAACAACGAGCGGGGAAATGAAGAAATTTTTTCTATCTGACGAGAAAGAAAGATTTTATTCAATTTATACAGCTCTCAAGTGAATTGAGTTTCAGCCAATCATAAGCACGCTTTCATCAATTCTTGAATTGTAGATAATTGGGATAAAGTTTTATCACACCAAGTTGTTATTTCGAATCTATCATTTAGTTCAGACGTAGTTTCGAACAAAGAAAGGCAAGAATGAGGGCGCAATAATCTTAGAGCACATCTCTCATTAACTCTGGGTGATGAAACCACGCAAGGTGAGTTGAGTCTAATTATAATAGGATTTTTAGCAATGTATTCAACGGTGGGTTGTTAAAAAAAAAAAGATGGAAAGGAAGGAAAAAGATAAAAGAGCAAGAATATATCTCTTATCTATGCATCAGTAACGCCATCTTATATTAGCACTTGCCTTCCAATATCTTATGAGGAAAAAAATGTTCACTTTTCGCTGCTTCTAATATCAAGAATATTCAGCTCCCTCGCAAGTTTTTCAACGAATCGCTAAATAATCATTTTGTTATGTCTGATTTATTCTTTATCAGCAATGACGTATTAAGGAGACTGAATTTGGTGTAGTTTCCGCATTTTGTAAGTGATTTTTTTTTTCTGCGATAATGGAACAATTTTTGCTAAGGTGCCAAAGGTTCTGTATTATTATAATTTTTTTGTTTTGTTTTGTTTTGTTTTGTTTTTTCGGCAAAAATAGAAAGTAACCTTCACTACAAATATAATTTCTGTCGCTAAGACATATTTAAACATGTGTCAACCCTTGCAGCATTTTTCTGCCGAGAAGACCATGGAAACTAGCATGTAGTGCAGGAACTGACAATTTGTTGCGAACTTAATCGAAAAGAGTGATATGAAGTCCAAACATTCCCGGTTATTCTAATTTGAAGCGAGCCTTACTTGGAATTGTAAGCGGAGGCGGGCTGCGGTCGGCTGCGGTCAGGCCCAAGTATGCATGCGGATATTTTACATGAACAGATCGTGATGGGCCGAGAAAATTATTTCAATCTGAAGAATAAGAGAAGAGTTGAGATCGATCATAGATCGAAGTAGACTTTTACAATCTCTCTTTTCTATCCATTTCCTCGACCATTTGGGCATTGCTGATCTTGGTAATATGCAGTACTCTTGACATAAAATTAGTTATAGTTCAGCTCACAATGAAGTTCCCGGTCATTATAAGGGATATTTCCGGAGCACAAAATAGGGAAGGTTTGGGAATCGACTCCTTTTGAGCTAGCTGATAAACTTTTCCTCAAACTCGTGACAAACATAAATAATATCTTAGTTCATTTGAAAGGTGTTTCCATCAGTCTCCTGTCATTCACCTCTGAACAGTATACATATATTCCAAATGGCTGGAAGTGTGGAGAACAGAGTCCAAATAAGTTCGAAGCACGAGAGATTCAGAGAGGGCAAATAATACAATATTCTTAGAGCAAAAAGGAACCCGCGAATAACAACAGTCGCGTGTGACAAAATTATTCGCCTTCTATTTTTGCGCTTAAATAGTTGGGCCGCTGATTTCGATCAACGAGCCATCAAATTGGAGTCATTTAAGCTACTTTAACTCTTTTGAAACTTTCTAGCAGCAGACAATCAATTAAGCGGAAACGATCGATTGTGACGGTCTAATAAATTTAGCATAAAAATCGAGTTGAGAAGGATATAAAAAGACTGCCCACGCGTGATCTGAGAGACAGAAATGAAATGAAAGTCCACCTCAGCTGGTTGTGCTTGTCGATTTCTTTTTTTTTTTTTTCTTGTTCATAAATCTCCTTTTTGACTTGTCTTCAATAATTATTTCTGATTTCTCATTGTCTTTTCTCTTATCGTTTTTTCAACGTTGAATTGACTCAAGAGTGGGTGATTACACACCACGTGCACCTCATAGCTTAGTTCGGGTATCGTGAGGAAAAAACGATAAGAGAATTCACAATCATAAACCCAAATCGAACCTCGTGACCAAATATGGTAAAGGGAAAATGATTTTTTTTTAATTTTTTTATTCCATTTTCGTGCTGAAGACGACGAGAGCCCTTAATGAAAAAGAAAAGACTCGAAATCTCAGACGTGACTCCGGGAAATTACACGTTATCATTGAAAAATCTCTCCACAGAGCTATTCCGCTTGAAATTAGCTGAGAAAAAGGTGTGAATGAAGCGTGTGCGCCAACGACTTCCGGTACAAGCAAAAATTATCGATGACGTTGCGCGTTGGACTTTGCGCTATCTGCCTTATCGTTATGGCAACAAACGTTATTTCCCAGCATGCTTCCCTTCACCTTTCTTTTTTTAACAACTCACTGTAATGGAGTAAGCGAGTGGTTGAGAGGGAAGTTCGTACGATCGAACACGCCTTTCTACCCGAGAAACTCCATACAGTTCAAGGAAACTTGTTTCTTAGTATCTTTTCTGTCGAGAGAGCTTAACCCGTTGATTTGAAGCTGAATTTGGACGTTTGGATTTGACTTCGTTTTGTTGATTCGCGACACGCCCGCTCGACGAACGCCATATTGGTTGTATTTCACAACTTTTCCTGACACAACATTTCCTGGAGAGAAGATACGAGCAGCCATTAGGCATAAACACTTTGCTTCTGAAAGTTTACGGTAAAGAGACGCTGTGGAGTTAGTACCATTTCCTAAAGAGAGATTTGTTTTGGAGAATCGTTGGAATAAAGTTTGACTTGGCGCGCTTTGCTTATTGAAAGTACTCGTGGTTTACCGACTAGCTGCTTCAAGAAAGACAAACATTTCTGTTTGAAAATAAATAAAGTACTAAGCACTATGACAACGAGGTCTGGAAAGCATTTTCGAGGGGATAAGAACGTTATGATCCACGACAAAACTGGAAGGGTAATTTACATGTTTTGCTTTGCACGTTTCGTGAATGTTACCTCCCATGTGCCTTTCATGTGTAAAGAGTTAAAAGAGTCTCCTTAATACTTTGCAATTCCCAGGGCCTGTTTTTCACGTGCTCATACCGATTGCATATTTTTATTTGCAGATTCTGATTTCATGGAATCGCTTTGCAAGATCGCTGAAGGAAGCGTTTGAAATTTATTGGGAAACCAAGCAGGTAGGTTTTGCTACGAGAAACTGTTTTCGTCATTAGATGATTTGACGATCGAGCGAGAGTAGTCGTTTGTTTTGCCAGAAATCGCCAAATTTCTTTGCACAGTTGTATCGACATGTGCACGCAATTGAATGCTACAGAATTTTTCAGTCGGCTGTCATTGCTCATGTGACAATAAGTTACGATTTCCGTGTGAACATTTTGTTATGAATTCGGATCCTGCTCCAGTTGTTAGTACTTTTCCCTGGGGCCAACGAAGCGTAGAATTATTCCAACGTTGCTTGAATAATTGATAAGTCGGGCTCTTGTAATATTCTCCTTCTCCCAGCCTCAAGGCGTAATGTCAGGCTTATTCATTGCTTCAAGAAGGTATTCATTTATTATAAAATCGGATACTAATGCTGCATCGTTTTTGCGCAATGAGATGACGTGCTGACTATAGGGAGGTCTGCGACATGTAAAGAACACTCCGTTGATTTGCATCGGATATTAAAAACAAACTGTGACATTTTAATTAACTGCTGTGTTGTGGTTCAGTATTTCGAAGGAAATGTATTAAGATTTCAGCCTTTTTTTGAAGTTCCTCTTTTGCTTGAGGATGTACCTCGAGTCAGAGAACTTACTGGAACTTGATACACTTCAAAAAGGTCACGCACATGCATCTGATCTGCCACGAAATGGGTGTGTTGTTTTCAAACTGTTCGAAGTCTGCCTGAAAGATTTGTCAAATTAGTAAATCAAATTCTAATGTTTTTTGAGTACAAGTAGATTAAGTGTAGCTTGAATTTGGTCTTCTTAGCTGCGGTTAGGGTGCTGACATTTTGGGAAGCAGTGCCAATGCCAAAATTAATCGCTTATCATGATCACTGAATCACGAAATTAACATTTGCTTGAAAAGGCCTAATAAAAATTGCAACAGTGCTAAATTGGAAAATCGATGCAAACTGCGAATTTCATTTTCTTTGTCAGGATTGTTTTTAGGAAGTTGCATCTATATCAAACGGGAATGATTATTCAAAACATCTGCAAATCATGCTAGTATACACATTCTTGTTTTGATTGAGAGATTAAAGCTTTGTTTGCTGCAAATCTCTTTTTTTCCATGTGCTTTAACCTTTTATATATATATATTTGTGGATTGTAATCAAGAAACCGTTTGATCGATCATGACAAACTGTTACAACAATGACAGCTCTATCAAAGAATGCCTTGTGCAATATTCACAAGAGGTGTCCATTTTCACATTTACTCTTGTCTAGCAATTATTTGTATCACTCTGTAATCTTTTTTTGCGAAAATCCATGATCCTTAATCTAAGATGAAAAAAAATTTCAACTTCAGTGTTCTTAGTGATGTAGAATTGCTTATTTTAATACAGAAATTTATCACTGGAAGGTGATTAATCTAGAAAATAGTTAAAAAATTTCAGCATTTCTTTTTTTAGGTGCCTTCTCAATATTGTCAGTTATAGGTATGTGGTCGAGGAAGCTAGAAAGCTGCAGAATTTTCCTGATATTGAACCCTCTGCCACATTCTGCTGTTATTCTTGAATTTCTAAAAGGATCAAATTGGTACAAAGGTTGAGTTTTCTGATCTTTGGTCAACCCCTGTTTGTTTGAACAAGGGATAAAATAGATTAAAGAAACATTTTTTGAGCCATCAATATGGCTTGCTTTATGTTGAAAATGATTGATGCTTGTTTAGATAGGACTTTGGGGGAAATAGTCTCACAACTTTAATTTATTTTTTTTTCTCTCTACAGGCTGAAGTAACCTCCTGGTTTGAAGAACTACCAAGAAAGATAAAAAATATTCCTTTCAAGGACACCTTATTGGCTGCCATTCCATTTCTGTCTTATCTATTAGTCTATTCGAATTATTCACTCCTACGAACAATTTTAGGACTTGGCAAAGTGACAAAACCCAACCATACTTTCTTACCATGGATGGAAGTGTTAGTTTTCCATTGCCTTCCTCATCAAATGCTGGCAAAATTTGCACATCCCGCACTTGACTGTGTTGCTGCAGTTCCTTACATATTTCATTTTGCTCTTCCATTCCTGTTCATCTTATTCAAAATTGTAAGCAATCATAGCATTCGCGGAGTGTTTCCGTTTCTTTGGTGTGCAGGATGGGTGAATCTCGTCGCAACCATCATACAGTTCCTCTTCCCAACAGCACCACCTTGGTATGTGGACTCAGTTGTTTTTAGTCCCATGGGAGATGTTCTCAAAGCAGGAGCTAATGAAGCGGGATTTCACAGACTTGATGCGGCATTAGGTGTTCCATTCTTTCACGGACTTTATGCAGCTTCTCCATTGCCATTTGGAGCATTTCCTTCACTGCACGTGGCATGGCCAGCAGTGATATTAGTTAGTGGACCCTGGATAAATGAAAAGTTTGCAATGTTTCATGTTGTGTGGATCACGTGGGCTGCTCTGTATTCAAATCACCACTATGGTGTGGATGCCGTGGGGGGAATTTTTTTGGTGTTTTTGGTCAATTTTATGATGCGTAAGGTGTGGTGTCCGTTTCCTCTTGAAAATGGAAAGAAACCCTCCTGCCATTTTTGTAGAAGCATATCACCACCCTTATTACAAGTTTAGCAATTTATAGATTTGGTGTCTATTTTTTAGGTTAATTTTCAAATTTAGACAAACTGAGAATTTGAAATTTTGGCTGGTGCCTTCTCAGCCTTTTGGTTTATTTTAACTTTTTTTTAACCTTGCTTTTGTTTTTATTTACCACAACCAACACAGCTAAAACTAAAAAATTACTTTGTTGTCATTTTGCAAGGGGATTCAATTCATTCATATGATAATTCTGTGTTAAGGATTAATTTTGAGTGAAGAATTTCTCAGTTTGTGTGTGTTGAAAATTGCAAAATTATGAAAAAAAAATACATCTTAGAGAAAGTGAAATAATATTAGTAGGAAATTTTATAAATTTCAGGCTTAAATTACTGATTGCTATGATCAATACTGAAGGTCTAGTTTGTTGATGATGAATATTCCCTGAGGTGTGAATTGTGATGTGTTTATGAAAATTGACTGGAGAATTGGTGTAGACAAATATGAGGTTCTGTCTTAAAGTAGCTTTTTCTACATGATGCGCAAGAGCTAAATAATTTAAGAGTAATAAGTTTCTCAATATCTTGATGCTTCAACATATGAACAACCACATAAATGGTTTGATAGTTTACTTTTCCTACGTTTTCATTTTTTTAAATTTTTGTTCATAGTGTTGATGTAGTAGAAGTCAGTTGGAATAATTAGATTTTTTATTTCAATCATTCTGTTATTGTTTTTGTTTTTGTTTTTGTTATGGTTTACACAATTATTGCTTTGTTTTTCAATGACCACATTGTTTGTTGGTCCTTAATATAAAATATTTCAGTTTGAGTATAGTTATATCCTGAATAGTGAATACACTTTATTCTCTATTATCAGTATGCATATTCCCATTATCATCCTCCACACATTCTCTATATTACTATCTAGGAGAATTTGTTGAACAATCAAGAGCTCTTGCTCTCCTTCTGGGGTTTTTAGAGGGTTGCTAGTAACTTGATACAGAATGTACACCTCTCCAGTAATTATTAATTTTAAGCAATTCAATTGCATAGTCAGGCTTAAACATATACTGACAGACATTCAAGAGTACTCCAATGTGAACACTCTGCAGTAAATTTGGTTACATAATTATTATTAGTGATGTACATTTGAAGAGGAAGTAATTGTTGGAGAGTAGTGAAATTCTTTTGCAACCTGGAAGTCGACTAAAATCGTTGTAGTTGGTAGGAGCCATTTCAATTTAAGAATTTTTAGAAAACTATCATTTTTAATAAAGACGTCACTGGACTGGTCCTCAAGATATACCTGTTGTACTGTTTTGCTTTTTTGAGGGGATTAGCAGAAATCAGATCAAGTTTGATTGGCTAGAGCTAATAAGTATGCACCACAGATCCTGGTAATGTTCCTTCGATCCTGTGTGCCCTTAACACCCGAATATCAGTAAGGATATTCTCCATACTGTTCTTTATACATCTCCTAAGGTAGCGACTGACTAAAGCACGCGAATAACGCTCGTCTCGCGTTATCACGAACACTTCCCATTTCAAACCATGAACATGTACGGCGCATGCCCGGTCAGTACCAAGACCCTTATTTCTCTGGCAACTACACTCTTCCTGAAAAGCAATATTTTGCGCCTCTAGATGTTATTACACAACCACATCGACACAGCTTCGGCGAAACAAACAGGAAGTCGCTAAAGAATTGAAGTTTATCTCTTTTGGTAATTTCAATAATTTGCCATTCCTCAAGCATTAGAAAAAGGGATCTTTGAAAAAAATACTGCCTTCAGAGAATAAGATCTCTTGGACTACCGTATTGGTAACATAAGAAATTAAATAAGATTGGCGACGCTTTCATCAGCATCGATTAATAACAAAAATGAGATCATGTATTACCGACCCCTGGAGCGATTCCGCAGATTTGTCAGAGACACGTTGAGATGTCATTTAAACAATTAACGCTGAAACTGCTGAGGTCACGCAAACAAGCAATTCCGAGATAAAAAATAATTTTTTTTTTTCATTTTATACCTTAAGTTTAACCAAAGGGTGTTCGCATATAAAAAGAAGTTTGATGACCAATGGCAGTTTACTGGAAAGGTTTGAAGTTTACTTGAGAAACGTCTGGAATAATGAAATACCTTTTCAACTGAATTCGGAAATAACGAAAGCGATATAAGGAAATTTGGTTCGCAAACGTCTTTAATTACTCTTTTCCCCTACGCAAAGTGTTCCCTCACGCAAACCGATTCTTCCCGATAAAGCGAACCGGCTTCAAGATTTTCACGGGACGGGATTTTTTACCGTTGCCTCAACATATTTCAAAATGATAGATTCTTTTCGCGTTGTGATTCTATTTTATTTGATTCACATACTTTCCAAGAAACTCTTTCATGCCCATGAAAATACTGGATCATTTTACACTTCGGGATGTAGCTATACATCAAACATCAACAACTTAACTGTGCAAGAACATGGTAAGAACTACAACCTTCCCCTAGTTGCGATCAACTGCACCAAAAGAAACCTCAATGAATTCCCAGCAGAATTGCCAATTAACACTGGTAGACTACTCCTCAGTTTCAACGCGATTTCAAGATTAAACGCTATTGAAATGGAGAAGATTCGGCACGTGCGAGAATTGTTCATGGAAGGAAACAATATGTCATTTATTGGACAAAGGAGCTTTCTAAATAACAAAATGTTACAGACACTGAATCTGGGAGCAAACAAACTGACTGACCTCACCCCAGGAATATTTGAAGGGTTGAAAAACCTACTGAATCTGTATCTTGATCGAAACTGGATCACTCAACTACATAATGGAACTTTCCAGAGTTTGAATTCCCTAATCAATCTTGATTTGAGTGCGAATGAAATTTCTGAAATCAGCGAAGGAGCATTCAGCGGCCTCAAACAACTGATTTATCTTGACTTATCTAGAAATGAGTTGGGTACAGTCTTACCGAATCATTTCAGTAAACTTTCGTCACTTCATACACTGAATCTTGGTTTCAACAGGATTAGCTCTCTTGAAGAAGAAGCATTTTCTGAATGTACAAACTTGAAATTCCTTTCCCTAAATCATAACAATTTTACTTTTGTACCAAAAGAGGCCATGAAGCCGTTAAAGGCCCTTAAAAAACTAGACCTCAGTGGAAACCTAGTAGCGTTTATTCCTTTGGATGTTTTCGTCACTTTACGTTCCTTGGAATTCCTCAATGTAAGTTTTTGCGAAGTTCGAGTGTTTCATGGTATGAATCTAAAGAAAATTATGCCTCAGTTAAAGCTTGCTGTTAATAACAACCCACTAGAATGCACTTGTGATATGCTTTGGATGAAAGAATGGCTTAACGATGATCCCACCGTATTTTATCACTGGCCACAAGTCAAGTGCAAGTTTCCCAAGAGGTTAAGCGGAAGAACATTGGCGGGGTTAAACAATTCTGAGATGAATTGCACGTGTGATCGTTGCCAACTGTCATTCAAGTGCTTTTTGGGAGAAAAAACGTGCAAGTGCGCGAGCGAGTGGGCGGGTCTATCATGTCTTGACACATGTCAATTTCATAATGACAGTATTGGCATGTTATATGAAATGGTGTGCAGCTCTTCACAAGGAAAATGTTTTTGCTCTAATATGTCCGAAGTCTGCGTAGAAAATGCTCAACTTATCAATTCAAACCTAACATGGCAGTGTACTTGTAAACCTGGTTTCCAAGGAGACGGGTTTATTAACTGTTCTGATATTGATGAATGTGCGCAAGCGCACAGTGTATGCGACAAAAGCGCTGACTGCATTAACACAGAAGGCTCGTATCGATGCTTCTGTCCAAATGGTTACCAGGGAGACGGAATAATCTGTCAGTCAATGAAACATCAAAATAAGACTGTGTCTATAGTTACAACCACGTTTTCCGTACTTGTTTTCGTTGTCCTGATCGTTGCACTGGGTTGTTGCATCGCTCCCAAAAGAATCCAAAAGATCAGAAATGCCAAACGATCCACGGACAGGAAGAGAAAAAGAAAACAGTCTACTAGGCGGTATGTTGACCTGTACAACGTTCACGAGTTAGGATTCACTAACATCGTTTGTACGCAAGGTAAGAGCGTGTTAGAGAAAATGGTGAACAAATGATTGAAACATAGGGTGCTTATCTGATGAGTATCCTTAAGTCTGCGCTTGAGTAATCTATTTCATCAGTGACACGGTGATCTAAAACCCGTCCCATTACCAATTGCGATGCACGCTTTTTTGGAAAAAGTGGATGAAATAGAAATGATAGTGTTGCGGTGGTACACAAGCGCACAGCCATAAGGTTGCCTTCATTTACTTATCTATGCAGCGCCTATGAAATGCACAATCACCTTCAGCAAAACTTACCAAATCTACTGCTGACCACATTTTTGTTACTAGAAGAATGTCTAAGAGATGACAAATGGGAAATCCCCCGTGAGAAGCTACACATCTTTGCAGCCATTGGAGAGGGTGCGTTTGGTGTTGTAATGGAAGGATCGTTAGATACAGGTATAAAATCACTCGATAACTAATTCTTCTGGTTTCTTTTAAAAAGACAAAAATATCAACTCCTTTAGAGGCTTTTTATTTTTATTTTGAGGCCTTTTAAGCGCAGGTCTGGGTTGTTCGAAACCCGATCAACGCTCCTCATGGAATGACTTGGAATCTACGTTTACTTCCTATCATTAGAAGCCTGGGTACAACCGTTTGAACTCGCACTTATGCGCTTGCGTGGTGAATGGCATGGGAAGCAATGCAATTCACTAATTTTCCTTGTTTTCAGACGAAGGAGCTATAAAAGTAGCCGTAAAGACCTTAAAGCCAGGCGCTGATCGCTATGACTATAAAGACTTGATGGCAGAACTGTCAATCATGAAGCAGGCCGGAAGTCACCCTAACATCGTCAGCCTCTTGGGAGCGTGTTCTGTGGAAGGACCGCTGTACTTAGTGATGGAGTTCGTTTCCGGCGGAAACCTGCTATGCTTCCTTCGAAAAAGCAGGTGTCAACATCCACATTATATCAATATCACCTCGTCTCTCAACGAGCGAGAATTGCTGAACATTGCCAAAGACGTCGCTGATGGAATGAGTCATCTGAGTAATCTAAACATAGTGCATCGAGATTTGGCTGCAAGGAATATTTTACTGACTGAAAACAAGATTGCGAAAGTGACAGATTTTGGACTTGCTCGAGACTTGCAATCAGAGGGTGTTTATACCAAAACTACGGCTGCGGGGAGACTCCCGGTGAAGTGGATGGCACCTGAGTCCATTCAATTCCATACATATACTTCCAAGTCAGATGTTTGGTCTTTTGGGGTGTTGCTATGGGAAATAATCTCAATTGGCCAGTGTCCTTACCCGGGAATTCCAGCGCGACTGCTGATGAGGAAGCTTGTGATTGGTTATCGCATGCAGAAGCCCTCTCAGTGCTCCGATGACATGTACGAGGTTATGAGAGCCTGCTGGCAACTGGATGCGGGCGCAAGACCTACTTTTGCTGAGTTAGCAAAAATCTTGCACGAGTTTTTAGCGCGGACTGGACGTGCATACATCAACTTAGAAGGAGCAGATTCATATTTGGAGCAAATTCCGACAGCTTCTTTTGATTTGAGAAGCGAGTTTGAAAAAGATGAATCAGAAAGCAATGATTTTACCGAAGGTTCCGATGAGCTGGAGCGTGCGCAGATTGAAAACGATGTGGGAAGACACTCTGAAAGTTCTGCACATGCGTCATTTCAATTCCAGACTGAAACAATCCATTATATGATAACGAAGTTTTAAAAATAACGGAGAAGCTAAAACTACATTTATCGATAGTGTTAAAAAAAACTCAATGTAGATGTTATTTGGCATGTCAATTACAAATTCTTATTAAGAAGAAAACATTCTAAAATTACATAAAGAAATTCATGAGGAATTTCGGTAAAACATTTTCGAACTGATCCGCTGACAAAGCGCAATGACTTTGAACGAGAAGATTCAAAGGTCACAGGCCTGTGAAGGGAAAACAGGAAGAATTTGAATGACTTACAAGTTTTGGTTTGTGACAAGTTTGTTCAGAAAACGACAATCACATCTTATGCTTCGTTTTAAACATTTTTCAAATTTATGTTTTTCAAAAAGACTTTTAGAGAGGTGAACACAGTTTGCAGTACTTCAGAATGTTTTTGAAAAACAGATGATGTCTTAATGGGTTTACCGGGTATCATGCTTTGGTTATCAAAATTTACCAATGGAACATGTAATGATATGTATAAATAATACATAATTTTAGTTTATTGAACACGATGAAAGCCGAAAGGTAAACTGTGTAAATATGGAAAAACAATAAGATAGGTCTTTAGACGTTGAGGGGAGCATATATATGAAAGAGCACACAGGAGCCTTCCACTCCTCGACTTTGCTTCGCGCGAGATGGAGTCTTTCACATCTTTCTCCTCAGACTGCTGTACTGTTCTTTATTTTATTTTAGCAATTTTTTTTCTATAAGACCAGCTAGAAGCCCATGAACGGGACACTAAGTCGAAACCCATCGAGATCGCCGTCTAGGTAAATAAAAAACTAAAACTATTGATTGATGATAAATACTTCTTTTATTGCCATGGCACATTTAACGCACGTGTATTAGTAAGATCCATGATTCAAGTTTGTCTCTTTATGCGTATTTTCCGTTTCTAGAGGCTCTGGACTTTCATCGTTTAAAATCAAATTATTTTTAAATCGAATTCAATATTCATGTTATACAGCAAGATATTATAATCTCTTGGTTTCAGCTATTCACAAATGCACAACAAATGCTCCATACTTCGCAAACAAAATCTGGGACAGGAATTTGAAACAAGGGCGAGTAAGGTAAATTAAAAAAGAAAACGAGAGCTCGCCGAACTGTTATTATAGGTTTCTAAAGTATGCAACAATGCAAGTGTTATTTCACATTAATCTTATACATTAATAACACTTTCGCTTATGTTTTTAACATCCAACTTGTTTTGATGAAACAGAAATTAATCAGAGGTCTTCTGCTCATTAGTGTCGTCGCTAAACTCTACCCCAGACCCCATTTGTTCCTCACTGACAGTGATATTGACGTAAGACCTCGCCGATTCGGACAGCATCTCCGACAAGGTGCCGCAAATTTCGGGGAATGTCGGTCTTTCTTCGGGATCCAAGCGCCAGCAGGTTTTCATCAATCCGTAGAGTTCGTCAGAGCAGTGAGCTGGCTTAGACATACGATAGCCGCATAGGAGTTTCGTTAGAAGAAGATTTACCGGAACACAGGGATACGGGGAAGCCCCGATGGTAACAATCTCCCATAGGAGGACCCCAAAAGACCAGACATCCGAACGGGTAGTGTATATCTGATCTTGAATGGATTCGGGGGCCATCCATTTTATGGGGACACGCCCCACTCCAGTCTTAACGTACTGCCCATCGCCATAAACATCACGCGCAAGTCCAAAGTCTGCCACTTTCGCTTCATGTTCAGCGGTGAGGAGAACATTTCTAGCGGCAAGATCTCGATGGACAAATTTCTTCAGAGCAATGTGATTCATTCCTCGAGTACAGTCCAACGCAATCTTAAGAAGATCGCGTGAACTCAGCGTGGAGATGATATTCACGTAGGTCTCATCCGCTGGACGGCTGGAACGCAGGTAATCAAGTAAGTTTCCACCTGAAACATACTCGGTTATTATGTACAGCGGTCCTGGTGTGGTGCATGTGCCAATTAGGCTGACGACATGTGGGTGTTGTCCAATCTCTTTCATCATATCCATTTCCAGGAGTAGATCCTTGTAATCAAAGCGATCAGCGTGTTCTTTAATGGTTTTCACTGCAACCTTTATGGGGCCGTCATCTGTAACAGTAAAGGAAAAATTAAGACCCCAAACTTGTTTTTAACAGCAAATCACAGACACAGTGTGGCTGAGGCACACTCCAACCATCCCAACCTAGGTCGGGGAAAAATTTAAAATGAATATTTCCCCCATCACTTTTTCCTGTGCAGTCATCTCTACAGGGTCCAGTAGCATCAATAAATAAAAAAGTGTGGTCCGACATCAGAAGAAACCTTCTACTGCTAAGACAATAGCGTCCACAAAGGTACCTTAGTGTCCGAATTCAGATATTACTGTCCAAAATTGGACACTAGTGTGTAAAATCAGACACGAGTTTCTACAAGCGGATAATCGGACACTATCATCCAAAATTGGTCACTAGTGTCTAATACTGGATAATTGAGCACAAGTGTCCAAAATCGTCACTATCATCCAAAATAGCACTCTAGCGCTTAAAATCGGACAATAATGTTTAAAATCGGACACTAATGACAAAAAAATCGGACACTGGTGTCCAAAAATCGGACGCTTGTGTCTAAAATTGGACACCAGGGACCAAAATCGGACATAAGTGTCTGAAATCGAACCGTAATTTCTTATGTGTTAGGCTTGTCCAAAATCGACATTAGTTTCCAAAGTCAAACTATGAGTTGGGTGCTTTTATATTCACTATTGGTAGGCGTGTCTAGGCTTACCTGCCAAGTCATTTTGAAATCATTAAACATTTGTTGCCAGAGCGAGAACCCTAACAATTTTACAAAAAGCTAACAAATAAACAACAAAGGGGCTTAATGCTTCCAGTCAAACAATTAATCTTTGACGGCCACCGCCAAACACAAGAACGTTAGTGTAAGCGCGAAGCAGCGTCAGTAGACAAACTTAGCACGTCTACTGATGAAAGTTAGAAAAACAGTCACAATCAGAAGACTCGTTGCGATAGCATACGCCATGCAAATAACTCTAGAGCTTGAATTTAGGTATTAAATAAGTATCAAATATAAAAAAAATCAGTAAAATAGTTTTTGACTTGATGCTCCACACCACTTGTGACATTTTTTTTTATCGTTTTCATTAGAAGCTGTAAAAACTTTGTTTTAGGCTTACGACACTCAATGGACATTCACTCCATGTACTCACCAGTCATAAGTGTACCCTCCAACACCAAACCAAACTGGCCTTCCCCGAGTTTTTGACCAGTTAGAAGACGGTCTCGCTCAATTTCCCATTCATCAGTGTGATCGACTGTACCGCTTGCGAACGAATGCAGATTACCGCCTGAGGAGTAACAAAATATGAAAGACATAATTTAGGTCGGACTAGAACTATTATAAAAAAAAAAAGATTTACGATTGAGTCATTAAATAGGCCCATTATGCGTTTATGTTTGCGTTGCCACTATGAAGCTCTAATCAATGAGTTTGGCTCGTCGTCTAACATCAGACAATGCAAGTGTTTATATGAAATAAAATTCGGCCATACTGATGCTTCCAAATAAACATTTATAAGTTACAGTCCTTTTCGATGTAACCACGTTCTTTCAATAAACAAATATGGTTACGAGTCGCGTGAATAAGAAGGCTCTACGAATTCCACCAGATACCAACGGATTGATTGCTTTACCTAACTCCAAATGATCTCTGTTTCCTCTGTGATCAGCTCCACCACTCTGAGTACGGGTTCTCATCTCAATCAAGTCCTCCAGTCCAGGGACATATTGTGGATTGCTTCCCCTTTTGGGCTTCTTCTTCCTTCGCATTAAGTAGACGAGTAACACTGCGATGATTATTAGCACAAATAAGCTCACTGCGAGCGCCACAACGATCACCAAGCTGTTTTGAAAACCTCCGTCGGAGTGGGAGTCTGCTGTCGGATGTGTTGTGAATAGGTTCTTCTCGCTGTAACTGCTTGTGTTAAAAAAAGAAATAGCACCTAGACAAAAACAAAAAAGACAGAAATCGTCATCAGCATTGTTGCCATTACCATCATCATCATCATCATCACCATAATCACAGTGACTATTTTCCTAAAGAAACATTAACTATATAAAATTAAAATTATCACAGGGATCACAACACTTAAAATCTCAGGACTAATCGATATACATACGCCTCAACAGGTCTATCAATCTGTACAGTAGAAAAGTGACAAGAGTGAGGGAAATCATCAAACAGTACATATTGACCTCACACACGCTTTCAGATCCTAGTAATTAACGAAACATCAGAGACATTCTCATTAAAAAACTGTCACCAAACTTCTGTTGTTGTGGTTCGTTTGTTTTCGTTTGTTGTCGACGGCGATTTTAAAAAACTTCAAAGGACGTTCACTTGTTGAATATTCGATCGTGGCTGATAAATACAATGTGGGCTCGGAAAGTTCTGCCATACTTTGAACACTAAATAATGAAGATTTTATGGTTCTTTAGTACTTACAGATTGCCTAATCAAGTGGTAATGGAGGCTGAGTGTTCTAAATCAACAAGACCGTCATACCTACACGAACCAAATAGTTTGCATGAGGTGTCAGCTCTCTCAAAGTTGCTCTTGTTTCGTTTGGTTGCAGGTTTATAACCTCCCAGTCCTCGCCATGAATCCCAAATCGTTTATATTCCACTTTAATTAACTTTGTTTTAGAAATATCCACAGCAGTCCATGACACGGAAACCTCTGTACTAGAAATGACTGTTATTTTGAGATCTGTCGGCTTTTCTGGTTCTGGCATACAGGAATCCCCAACGAAGCCCGCGTGGCATATGCAGGTATATGAACCTTTACGCAAATGAAAAAAGGTAGTTAAAAATAATTTTTTCAAACTAATTAAATCCATAAGGTAATTATAAATATATTCTGTTGGTGGAGTAAGCGAGCAAGTCTATAAAATCATTAACAACCACAAACGCAAGTATTATGATACCACCTTGATTTTTTTTCTTCACCTCAGCTGTTATTCTGAGCCGTTTTATGCAAGGTAAATGTTGTTCAGTGTTTCGCCGAAATGAGCTGGGCTAAGCGATCTAGAGACGAAACTTAATTTCAAAATTTGAAGCTGTCCAGAAACGTTTTTCGGGTGAAAAGTGATAAAACCTAGAGAATTATATTTGTTGCGATCGATCATTTCATACAAAAAGGGTTTCTACGACATCAAACGATTCCATGTTTCATCAAGTTGACACGGATTTATGATTAACAGCCTGGAGAGAATCGATAAAAAGGTTAACTTGGAATTTTAAGTACTCGTGGATGCTTTGGGATGTGGTGAGGTTTTTCTGTTCAATATCGCACTAAAGTAAAATGTGATGCATATGCTATTTGGAATGTCATGTAGCTTTGATTCATATTGTTTTCCAGCACAACCACTGAACCAAGGATTGTAATTTTGAAACAAGCTGTCATGTAGTATGCCTTTCAACCTCTTAAAACCTTGCTCACTCGCACAATCAATTAAACCATAATAGATCAATTTTTGTACTATTCGAGTACCAAAGAAAGAAAAGGTAAGATCTGCTTTCTTCATTAAAATCAGTTGTTCACCTTCATTTCGCAATGTTAGATCAAGCCGTCGGTTTGATAGAAAATTTTAATATAAACGTCAATAAAATTGTAGTGTGGAATTGTTTTTGCCTCTGAAAACCAGTGACAGCCTGGTAAAAACTTGTCAAATAAAGGAACCAACTATAAAACCAATAAACCTGATGAAAATTAATTTGTTTTGACACACCCTCCATTACAATAAGTTGAGCATAGTCCATGTAATACGGACATTTTTGGTTTAATGTATGGACCGAGCCATAATCTTTATTTAAAAAAAAAAGATTGATTGTTGTAAATTTTACTCAATTTCTCCTTTTTTGATTATTTCTCCCGCAAATCAATCCCGGGAAGGGAAAAAATCTAAGATCTATCTTTGAGATTGTCCAAATTATTTTTTTTCTCTTTCTTGGTGAGAACGTAGCTCGGATACTACGGATATCAATGTGAAAATTTGCGCAATAGCCATGAAACGAGAAACGCAAACGTAAATATCAAGAACAATATTCCGGCGCATATTTCTTCGCACTTCGGGCAAAACTGTATGTGTTCATAGCTGTCAATTCCTTCAAATAAAAAATAGTGACATTTATGTATTTAGCATCTTTCGATGAAGGAGATGTTTGCAAGGTAACAATCGTAATAGAGTGATTTACATTTTGATAAGAATTGCATTTTCCTTATCTGATCATAAAATTGTATTAATTTGCAGTCACTGTGCTCCTACGTTGTCGAGCTGAGTTTTTAAACCGGTAATAATCATGATTAATTCCTTTTTGAGCGGCAACTTAGGGAAAACTTTTAATTTTCTCATCTTAAACGACTCCCGTCGGAGTTTTAGGCCTTTAGGAATAAATAATCACTGAAATAGTTTTCGTTCGTGTTAATGAAGATTTGATGCTTGGAATCCGGCGTAATAAGAGCTGCTTCAGTTCCTGGCTTTTAGACATCGAGGACTTTAGTTAGGCATCACAGTTTCGGAAGAAATCGAATTTCGGATTATATCACTCGGTCAAGGAACAGTTTGGTTCATGGGTCAATCAGCGTTTATCAGCCCGCTTGATCTTTCAACAATAAAAGCATTTGTCGATCCAGTGTCCTAAAACCTTAGCCAAGGCTTTCACGTCAGCCAATCAGAAGGGCAATCAGAATTAAGAAAATGTCACAGGGAGCCAATGAGAACCCAACGTAAAGAAAACTGAACTAAGCGCGGGAAAAAAGCCAGCAACCAATTCGGAATTAGTTACTAGTTATTTTTGTACCTGATTGGTTGAAAACTTGGCGCAAGTCTTCTAGGCCAATCACAGAATGAAGTGAAAAAAAAACTTAGGGCAATCCTGGATTACTTGTAACAAGCAAGTACGGATGTCATTTTGACTCATTCACTTCACTCACATTGACACTCAATCAGCTAGTGACTTGAATGGTAAAATGAAGTTATCCACTAAATTGACCACATACCTAGACTGTTGTAGCATGTAGCGTTGACATGACATGGTTTTTGCCTCGAACATTCATTTACGTCCATGCACAGTCCCTCAACTTCCTCTGTAAACCCCTCCTGGCATTCACAGCGGTGTGATCCTTGCGTATTGATGCATACTGAATGTTTTAGACAGAAATGTTTCCCCGTGTTACACTCATTTATGTCAGTGCAGTAACTTCCATTCCCTTCAAATCCTATGTTACATTTACACTCTAAACGAGACCCATTTTTTTTTAATTCACCATTTTCGCTGCACTTTGCTGAGGTTATGTTGAATGAACAAATGGCTCTTGACAACGGCTTGGTAGTTATGTTTCCTCCGCAAAAGCATTTCCCGCCAAAGTTTTGACACGTACCGACAGCCCCGCTGTCTGACTGACAGGTATCACTGCAGGATGACCCCGCCCAGTTGTCTGGGCAGGAACAATTGACTGATTCCCCGCTGCAATTTGCATCCATTTTACATGCTGCGCATGAGCAAACAAAGGATGTAAGGTTTGCCGAGGTCAAACCAGTTCCGGAAATGTCATTTGGCTTGTGACAAATGGCGCCATCAAATGTCAAGCCTGGTCTCCTTGACAACCATGTCGGAAGCCATCTCAAGTGACAATTGCAGTTTAAAGGGTTATTACGTACATGGACCGCTTCAAGGTGTCCGAGGTCATCAAAAGACCCATTTTGAATCGAAGAAATTTTGCAATGACTTAATTCAATTGTGGTCAGGCGTCGTAGCCCTTTGAAAGCATCTGCTTCTATTAACTCTAGTGGATTGTTGTTGACATAAAGAAACTCTAGAAACTTAAGGTTCGCTATAACTTTTGCGGGAATTTTATCGAGCTTGTTTCCATTCAACACTAGTTTATTGACTACCGGAGCGCAATCGAAAGCATTTCCATCAATTGTCTTTAATCCATTCGAAGCCAGCTCCAGAGTCTTTAAGGACATTAAATTTCCAAAAACGCCTTTGTTAATAGTTGTCAGAGAGTTGAAACTTAACAAAATATTTTCTAAATAATCCAATTCGTCAAATGCACCTTCCTCGAGCACACTTATTGTGTTATTCCGAAGATCAAGCTTCCTCAAGAGTGGTGTGTATGAAAATGTTCCCTGGAAAATCCTCTGTAGCTTGTTATGATCCAAACGAAGTTCGTTCAGGGTTTTCAATCCCTCAAAAGTTTCACGACTTATGTTAATGAGTTTGTTATCTTGAAGCCACAGTAGTTCAAGGTCTTTCTGATGATGGAAAGATCCCGGCTCAATGGACCTGATGTTATTGTCCTTCAGGTATAACTCATACAAGAACGGGTAATTTCTCAACGAGGCATGTTTTAGTACACCAACATTTTGGGAATCCATTATAAATTTTCCAAGTTTTGGTGGTAGTTTTTGGGGAATGTCCGTCAACTTGCTGCCTTCTCTAAAACTGCATATTGCGTTCACATATGTCGATGGCGGTTTCCCACTAACTATACGATGTGTGTACGAGCATGAGCACCTTGTGATATTTGGGCAGAGATTTTGCGACCCACCAATAACCGTAGTACAACTAAACTGGGAAAAAACAATGATGTATCCGAAAAATGCGACGAGCATGTAGAAGTCATGCATCTTGGAAGCAATCATGGAATTTTTCGTAGCAAAACTAAACATCCTCCAAGGCAATCCAATCGATTTAGAGTCCAGTCGAATACAGGAAGCGATTTTCACCGTTCCGCATCGACAACAAATCCCCTAAAATTTTCCTTAATTGAAAGCGATGAGTGAGTGATTGGCAAGTCTCTATTGACTGTCAAATTTGACGGGCCGGTGGTTTAATTTAAGCATACAATTAAAGAGCGGACCTTTTTAACAGAATTTCTCTTGGTAAAGCTTTATTATCAATCTTTATGAATCTACCACAAGTTTTTATTGTATTGTCGTTAGATCAGGATTCTGACCCCACGGAACATGGAAAATAATACATATTAGTATCATTGAATTTAATCTAAAATTAAATTGCCCAACCTCTCGCGCAAACGAAAATATCTTAAATTACCTGTCACCCGAGGATGTTTTTTTCCCAAAATGTTAATTGCCTTGCTCATGCAGAGATCAGAGTTTAATGAAGGTTGGTGTCAAATACAAATATAGTAAGAGATTGGCGATAGAGGAATATTCCATTAGACTGGAGACAATTTAATTCGACAGTTCAATTAATAGCTTTTGGGCACTCCTAAAAAGCGTCAATAAAAAGGACAGGTGCAAGGCCGCTTTAAAACACCAATTTGTAAATCCTTCCAGAACACGACAAAAATTTTATTCGTAGATAAACAGAATGTGTCGTTTGTTTTCGACTCGTCTCTGTTTTAATAATTCCAGGGCGTTTTATGAGTATGCAGTGCGTTGCCCTTAGTTGATCCTATAACTAACTGGCCGAATTCATTTTCCTTAACTGGCGATATTTCACAGATTATGAAGGATGTTCCCTCACACTTAAAATTATTATTTCCGAGTGGCTTTTGAAACCTGATGATATTCACACCCACTAAATTGGTCGAAAGAACCAAAACGCTGATCTAGCAGGTTTTATTCCCGTCGCTCGACTTCTTAACAATGGAAAGGACAAAATTTACTCCATCGCCCAACTTAAGTTAAATCTTCTTTGAGGCGAAGAAACGCTATGAGGCAATTCGACGGAATCATCTTTCTGTGCGTGGTAAAAATTTGCGCAATCATGAAATGAAAGAAAATAAACGATTGAATAGACAAGAGAACTCTCTCATCGCAATCCCAAAACAACTTAGAAATACCCGTTTTATTATTCTGTTATGCCTATTATGCCAAAATATACAATATAAAAGTCACAAATAACAGATCATGCTCTCAACAATGTCGGCTGTGATTTCATGCGAAAATAAGAAGTTTTAATGTTTTTTCTTTTCTCAGTTTAGTTTACGCTCAGATTAAAAAAGATTTGACCTTTCTTTTAGGGTGATTTTGTTAACCATTTTCTTTTTGACGTAAATGAAAAAAATATCAGTACCGCACAAAAAGCTGATGAATATTTATATCTGTAGCTTTTTCATTAATATCCTTTGATTCCGGGAAGGAGATTTCATGGGTCACCCGCGGCGGAGAGATCCGGTTATGCTAGTGATTGAGCAAATAGGTGTTCCAATGCCTGCCGTTTTACCAGCGTTGAACGTGCTTCTCACGCAGTTTTATGGACATTTCATTTTCATCTTATCACTGACTTTATTTAGTTTTCATGGTCGCTCCATTAATAACTGTTGACATGAAAAGCAAATATGATACTCGTTTTCTAACCTTAAGACAAAAAAGCATTTTATTTGAACTTTGGGGTAGAATTACTCAATCAATTACAGACAGACTAAAAAAGCATTCTTTAAACTGCAGTAGATAGATTATTTCAAAGTTTTGCAAGGCCACCATATAAAGCGAGACGGTGTGTACTAAAGACGAAAACAAAACCCAGGATAAAAGTTTAACCTTACAAGGCCGTGATCGAGCCCTGAATTTTGCTGAAAACGAAGAATTCGTAACGAGCCGTTGTTGTTCAAAGCCATATATTTTGCTTCTTGAGTACCTGTAGTTTAATTGGAATTATTTTCATTGTAAGGCAAATAGAAAAAAACTTTTCAAATTATATTTATCAATAAATAATGATTCGTATGGGAATGACAGGCTGCGTCGACCCCTCACAAATTTTTGATGAAGATTTGATTGAGCTTAGAAGCAAAAAAGGATAAGCCAAAGAACATGCTGTTAATAAATCGAAAATATGTAGAACATTCCGCAATGTCACGAGTTCAATCAGAAGTAAATTAAAAGAGAATCTTTTTTATCTTAAAAAAAAATTGAGTTTTCATTAGATCGTTCTGTGATGTTTCGAAGCTCCAGTACTTCGACGTTGTAACGTTCTAATTTCCCAGAGCCCTCAGCGTTCGTTAGGGAGACTAAGTCCGACTACCTAAGTAACCAAGGAAACGTAATCTTTTCATTGTGTTCCAATATGGCGCACAAGTATGACCTCCTATTAGTAGAAACCAAAACAGACGGGAAAAAGAGACTTAAACCATGGTAAGTAAGCCTTTATACTGTCCAAATGCAATTAAAAAGTATAAGAGGCCGTTGAAAATGAAGTTAATGGCATATTAAGTGAGGAATCATTCACTGAGAAAGCCATATTTATTCCATCAGATCAGCTTTGTTGCTGTTATGGCGAACAAATCATGGAGAATTTGTGGAGAAATATGCTTTGCTCTGTGCTGCTTAATAAAAAGGAATAGTTAGATTGAAAGTTAAATCTTCTCTTTTTGTGTCTTCAATGATATACATGGATGACTTTGTTGTACCAATCGAATTGATTAAACTATCTGTAATTTTATTACACACAGGTATAAAGAAAGATTAGAGACAAAGTATATAAAGCCAAGAAAGCTCAGAGGAAATTCAGAAACGCTGATCGGCACGTCTTGGACTTTTTTGGAGAAGGGAAGCGATGACTTTAGGGATGGTCTTCCCCCTGACGCTAATTATAATTATATTAAGAAGGTGAGACTGAGTGCGTAGACGTACTAGTAACGAATTATCATCGGATTATAAGTTATTAATTATTTAGTGATTAGTAATAGAAAACTGCTTGTAGGGCATTAAACCTTGGACCCCTAAGAGTGACTAGCATCTAATTTCTCCTCACAATATCTACCCTGAATCAAACATTAAGATCACCAGAATGAAGGAAATGATCAGCAGGTAAAGAAACTCTACATTGTTGAACAAACTCTCCTTGTCAGGAAATGTACAAAGAACAGTATAGAGAATATTCATACTGATGCTAGAGTGTGAAGGGTTAACAATCTCTTTTATTGAGTGATGATGGATAATGTAAGGTAACTCCTCAGAAATGTTTGCTCTGTATGATAGTTATTTCTAGATGTGCACAAGTCATGTAGTTGTTTTCTGTTTTGTGACTGGAATTATTTTCCTTTGAAATTTAACATTGTATGAGGATAATTTATTTGGAGTGATCAACATTAAATTTCTCTTTACAAAAACAGTTCATAATGGAGCAGAAAGGTGATGAAAAAAAGAGAACATTATCAACTATTAGGGTTATTATCTGCTTTAATTGATACCAATTCTCAGAGCTTAAATTGTGAGAAAAGTTAAGCAGACAGTGAAGAGAACTGATATTGAGGTGATGGGAGTCAAAGATAGAAAGGGTCCAGGTGGTGATATATAAAACAGCCTTGGAAAAAAGTAATTTCACTTTTCTTACATGTATTTTCTTTCAGACTAATACAGGGTTAGGACCAAACATAACTGGATCTGATGAAACAATAAATGAATATATGAATGACAGAGTGAGATTTACAAAGAATGAAGCCTGTTTTTCAAGGTACATTGTATGTTTATCAATTG